ATAGGAAGCGTATAAGCAAGAACAGACTTAGTGGATTTGGGAAAGGGCTTTGACCAGAAACAATAAGCTAATAAAACCCGAGATGATAATTGATCTTGATTTATTCAATATGCACTTTATTTTCTCCACATATTTCATGAGAAATGCCAAAGTATTTTTTTAGTGAAAGTGTGTAGTTCCCCAGATTGATAAGGCGTGAGTACAAGTATGCAGATTTAATAGTCCAGATAATTATGAAAAACTGTCCAACATATGAAAGTTAAACATGGGGAAACCAAACATTTCAAGTATCACTATAGTATTACTATGGCTAAAGTGTTAATCCCTCCCCTCTTTGATTTCCTACTTTCAATCCTCCTTTGCACTCACTTTTCTTTTATATTCTTTCATATGTATATGATACATTTTGTTTTTTTAAACATTTTATTGTGCTCTTGGTGAAAGCTCACATAGGAAATGAGCTTTCCAAACAGTAGTTCACATACAAATTATGCCACCGCATTATCGCAATCCCTGCAATCTGTCCACACTGTATTTCCTCCCGAGTTCCCCATTTCCATTCAGCCTGTGCCCTGCTGTCTCTGCTGGATCGTCACGCGTCCTGTTCATCAGATTCCACCAGTCAGGAGACGTCTCACTTGAACCACAATGGACTTAACGGATTTTACAACTGTGTGAGCCATTTCTTGATGTGAATCTCTTCCTACGTACAAAACATGGACGTGTCACTGGTTTTGCCTCTCTAGAGAATCCAATCTAACACAACAATTTTCCCCCCGGTGTGCTCCACCACATTCTTGAGTATATTTGCAGTGAAGATAAATGCACATATACAAATGTTCTATATATTCAGGAGCACACTTTCACTCTCGCTCTCTCATCAGTTCAACCTATGTGTCTATTTCTACAACACTTAAATTTGCTGAAAATTTTTTCAATGTGGTACATAGTTTAATTTCTAGACTGGTGTTTCTATGAGCACTGATCATGGATCCAAGTAAAATGAAATCTTTGACAATACCCATCTTTTCTCCGTTTGTAGTGATGTTGTTTACTGGTACACTTGTGAGGATTTTTGTTTTATATTGAAATATTATCCATTCTGAAGGCTGTAGTCTTTGTGAAGCATGTACTGATGAAGGCTAATCTCCTCTCTTTCAGCAAGCAAGGTTGTATCTTCTATATATAGCAAGTTGTTGCCGATGCCATATCCCTCTTGATATAATCCATCTTTTAGGATTCTCTTCTCAGCATACTGATTAAATAAGTATGTTAAAAGGATACCTGATTTTAAAATCACATAGTAACCCCTTGTTCTGTTCAAACAACAGCCTCTAGGTCTACATGTACATGCCACATGAACAAAAGAAAGAAATTATATACTTTTCTTTGCTTTTTGTAACATGTCTAAATCCTGCAGACACAGCTTTGCCTTGGCGAATGAGTGTTATTGAAATCCTGACTGCTTTCTTAAGTAGTGTTCAGTAACTTAAGTTTTAACCTGTATAAAAAAAGCTCTCCCATATTTATTTTCCTTTTCACATTAGCACTTTAAATTCTACACCATTGGCTAGATTACAAGTACTATTATTAGAATCACTAAATGTCTCATAGATGTTACTTAAATTATTGCTCAACAAGCTGATAATGCTATTCTAAAGTGGACCAGGTATATATATAAACTTTAGTTATACAAATGGATTTTGAGCTTGCAATTAATTATAATCCCTAATCTAAAAACAATTTGTTCTCACAATGTGGCCTCACTCAATACTTGTCCTCATAAAGTGATCACTGAAGATACAGGTGCTAAAAAGCAAAGCATGGTGAAAAAAAAATTACACAGTGCCAAACTAACAGAAAGAGTAGTGTCTGGGGTCGTAAAGGTTTGTCTTACAACAAGCAGCTCTCTAAGTGCGGTATCATCTAAGTCCACATGGAAGGATCACACCACCCAAGGATTGCAAATAATAAAATCCATCTTGATATTGGTCCTTTTCTTTCTTATTCCTTCTTTGTACTTTTATCTTCATATTATTATTATTTTATCCTTACCACTTTAAAAAAAATAAATAAAATAAAATAAAATAAAATCCAAGATCAGAGAAAGGAATTGTATTAGAGCTTAAATTCTGAGCACCCAGCTTGCAGACTACGGAAGGCAGTGAAAGCCCAACATCAATCTGCAGAGTCCACACATGTATTAAGCCTCCACTGAATTCCCTAGGACCCTTGAGCAGGGATGTGAAGTCTTGCCTCAGACAGAGTGCATTGGAAAGTGGATTACTGCAGATACAGATGGTTTGAAATTTCACATATCGCTTGTTTTCCCTTGATTCATTTTTAATTTGTTCTCATTTCTATTTCCTTCTGCTTCCTCTTGGATTGAACCTTTTCTGTGTTTTATTGTGTTTTCTGTATGATTCTATGAAACCTAAGATAGGCACATCTACAGAGACAATAACTAAATAGTTCCTTAGGGCTATGAGAAGGAAAGCTGGAGGGTAGTGGGGAGCTGAGAATGGTTCAGGGAAAGGAGAAAATGTTCTAAAATTGATTGTGCTGATGATTTCATAACTCACTTTAATATAATTAAAATATGGCAATGTAGTAAAAAAAAAAAGAATCTGTATGTAAATCAATGTAATGGGCAAAGGCATAACATTAGAAACCCAAAAAGGAAGAAAACACTTGCATTTCTCAAGCTGAAAGTATTGAAGAAAAACAGTAATCCAGTTGCAATACTGGAGGATTTTATGAGCAAAACATTGAGGAATGTAGAAAGCATCAAAAGAACATGGAAGGAATATACAAAAGTCATTAGGAAAAAGAGTTGGTCAATGTTCAACCATTTCAGAAAGAAGCATATGATCAAGAACCGATGATGGAAGAAGTCCAAGCTACACTGAAAGCAATGATGCAAAACAAGGCTCGAGAGATTGGTGCAATAGCCGTTGAAATGTTTCAACAAACAGCACTTGAGATACTCGCTCATCCACGCCAAGAGAGGTCCATACCCGTGCCTATTCAATAACCCCCCTAATGATGTGTAAAAAGACTTACTGAGAACAAACTTTTGAAGTACACACTATTTACAAAAACTAAAATTACAAGTGCAATGATTTACTATGCAAATGGACATAGTCTATATAAGAAAAACTACTTTTTTATTTTAAAAGTTGGCATTTCCTGTGTGACAATTTTGAAGTTAAAAATCAATAAAATACAGTAAGATGTAATATTCCAAAAACTTAGTATCATATGAATTTAAAAAATAAATTTCATCCTTTTTATAGTTGATACATTTTCAATACACTACCATACATACTCATGTATAAGCCAAGTTTTTCCAGCACATTTTTAATGCCGTTTTTGTGGATAAAATTAGGTGCCTTGGCTGATATTTGGGTAGGCTTATACTCGAGTATATACGATAAGTAAGATTTCGAGATGTTTTTACAAATATTAAGAGAACATACCTACTATAAACCCCAAAGATAATTGTACAGGAAACTGGTATTTGATCTCAGAATTAAGAAGTTTAAGAACTATACTGGAGTAATAAACCATTTATCATTTGTAGATACAAAATTAGCACCATCTTAATATGCTAAAAGTCGCCTTGGTGGCATAGTGGTTACACATTGGGCTGCTAAGGGCAAGGTCAGCAGTTCGGTAGCACCAGTTGCTTCTTAGGAGAAAGAGCTTTCTACTCCTATAAAGAGGTACAGTCTTGGAAATTCTCAGGGGTAGTTCTACCTTGTCCTGCAGGGTTGCTATGAGTTGGCATTCATTCAATTGCAGTGAGTTGGGTTTTGTTTTTTTTAATGTGCTAAATTCTATATAATTTGCTTCAAGCATCTGGGATGTGTCTCCTACAGATATGTTTACAAAAATGCAAGTACAGAATTGTAAAAAATTCAATGACAGAATTACTTTAAAAATTTCACCAAGATTAAGGGAAAAGAATTTTCACAGATAGTGGCCTTCTACTTTAAGTACCAAATACTAATTACCTCTTGCAAATAGTAGGAAAATATAAGATACATCAGGTCAAAATTAAGAAGTTATATTACACTTTATTACAGGATATTTAGAACTTATTGTCTCATAAGGAGGCAAGACTAACCTCCTAAAGATGTTTCACTGGTTACAGATGTGGTATCCTCCCATTTTTTTCATGTGCATAAATTAAATACAAGAGACTATGTCTGGGAAGAATTTCTTGTGTCATTTTCTTATAAAGCTGAGTATATGATACCATGCCATAATCATTATTTTTCTAAAGACTTTAATATTAAAAGATCTAATGCACCTTACGTTACATACTAAAAGAATAAGGAAATGATGTTTTAACAAGACAAGATGAAATATATGTCTAATCTGGTCAAAGTATATAAAATTTGTAACAAAGCATTTCGTAACAAGTGAGGGAATGCCACATTTTCATCTCATAAAAAATATCTCAATGTTAAAGACAGGCAATTCATTTAAGAAAAAAATAAGATCTAAGGGTTCTAAAATAACAGAATCTGGTCAAAAAACCACTAGATCTTATTTTTGTGACCTTCAAAATATGTAGAGGACATATTTTACAATCAAAATTTTATTTTACAATGAATTTATGTAAAACGATAAGCCTGTGGAGATTTACATTCTTAAATATAAATGAACTATGTGAAATACTACTAGAGAATGGCTATAATCACCATACTTAAAAACAGAGGACACTGTCTAAATATTTAAATATAACAATCTGAACATATGCTTTAAGTCTAAAAATGTATAAAATTATACTTATGAAAAATACATGTGAACAAGCTATGTGTGTGTGTGTGTGTGTGTGTGTGTGTGTCAATTTATAAAAGTAAATTGAACTGAGAATCTATGGAAAATCAGTTACGTTGTACTTATAATCTATAAATCTACATAGATATTATTACAGTTTGGCTTCCAGCAGCAATTTACCATACTAACAAAAACATAAAATAAGTACTTGCCTAATAAAATTTTGGCATCTTCCACATCAAAATCCCCATCACCATCAGCATCATAGACTCCTAGCTTCCCTGAAAAAAAGGATGTAAATGGAGGTCAAAAAAGAAAACAAATATCATTAAATATTGCTACTTTCTATGGTCCTGCACACCAGCCATAAATGTTATCAATGAAATTCTTTTAAAGCTGCAAAGCAGTGCCAAATAAATGGGTTATATAAAAATGATGCGTAATCTACTTAGAGAGTCAAAAATATCTTCATCTAAGAAAGTCTAAGAAATATAACTAAGATAAGTTCCTTTTAAATTTTTAACAATATTCTGAACTAACCACTTCAGAAATGTTTTGTTATACTTCGTGTTAAGAATATTTTTGGTAAAATGTTCAATACACATAGGAAACAATATTGAACCATATCAGCTGCATAAAGTTTACTGTTTCAAAAGTACAAAAATACCTCACAACCATCAATATTCAAAACGAAAGTAACACTCACCAAACCTCATATATAAGACTCAAACACAGCAACAACAACAACAAAATACACTGCCATCCAATCCACGCTGACTCATAACAGCCCTAAAGGGCCCAGGGTAAAACTGCCAGGGTGAGTTTCTGACACTGTAACCCTTCAGGGAGTAGAAAACCCCACCTTGAACAGCTGGTGGTGCCTAACTGCTGACCTTGCAGTCCAGTGCCTAACCACCACACCACCAGGGCTTCTAGATAAAAACTAGATACAAAAAAAAAATAGATACAAACAAAATAAACATAGGTTCTAAGAAATACAAATAAAAGAACACCGTATTTTTGCTATTTTGTCAAATGGTCTATAAGGTCTATAACAAAAAGAACATGAATAAACCTTTTAAAAGCAACGCTATTCTGGAAACAAAGTATTCAAAATTGGAGGTTTCTGAAATTACAAAAAAGATTTAATGGTTATCCTATATAAATTTATTAGCATTGGCTATCTATTAATAACAATAACAAAAAACAAGACTTAAAATGGATAAGCTAAAAAAGCAACACTGCTGAGGATTTTGCTCTTAAAGAATAATAGATACAATTTTTTAACAATGTAATGTTTTCTAATCCAGGAGAATCAAATTTTCCGCATTGCAAATATAAATCAAATACAGGGTGGCTTCAAAAGTTGTGAAAAATGAAATTAAAAGGCAATGTCATTTTTCCATGAGCTTTTGGATGCTCCTACAAATGTACATACAATTACTAATATCAACATCATTGGGTTATGCTTATAAAGAAATATAATGTATACTAGTAATTTAAATAGCATTAATAGCTATAGTACAAGTACAAATAAATCAGCAGCAGAATACAATGGATTTAACCAAAAATTAATAGAAAGCTTGTTTAAGCAGAGGTAACAGTGTTACAGTAAAGTAATTGTGAGCAATCTTTACCTACCAGAGCCCTTGAAACACTTAAGAAAATATTTAACTCCTTTTTCAGAAGCCCGATTTAGAAATTACATATACACCCAAAAATAAAACAAATCATAATAGCTACATAGAGAAGCTATTATTTCTACTGCTAAAAATATATAAATGAAAAATCAGTGATCTATAGGTCATGAATATACCCATTATAGGATTAAAATAATGAAAAAATTCACAAAATACTTAACTACCTGACATAATATAGGGAAATTGGTCCTGCCACTTCTCCTATGTAGATAACTAGAATATGAAAGAGGTTTTAGAGACTGATGTATGTATTCTTAAAATACATCTCCAAGCGCCTACCTTGAAGTACCTCTGATAAATTATAACGGAAGTCCTTTGCTTTAGCTGCATGTATATAAAAATATGAAAATTATTACTTATGCTTAAATGCACAAATATTTTAAGTTTCTTTTGTTCGATATCATTTACCTAGCAACATATTATAAAAGCGTTCATCTACTACGAAGTTTGTCTCCAAACTAAATTTCTTTTTCTATTAATGTTTACAGTTTTTCCTTTACAGTAATAAAAATGAAAATCTTTAACAGAGATTATAGATAAGCTCGCTTTGTTTTTCTTTGCCTTCCCACCACCACCCCCCACAAAATATGACTACAATACAAGTAAAACAGAAATACATTCATTAACTGACCCACAAACCAATCAAAATTAGACTTTCCTTAAATTATTAAAGAAGTATGTTTCAAAATTTCAAAAACTGGCTGCTGCTAGCTACCATTCAGTTGGCAATGGGGTAAACAATCATGAACACCGTAGTGCCATGAGGAGTGAAGAAAAAGGCACACGGTCAGGAGCATAGCAGCACCTGTCTCAGAATAGCAGACAAAGCCCAGCTACACGTACACACACACACCTTTCGCAAACATACACACGTTTATCTTATGTTATTCACAGCAAAACAACAGAGGAGCATGCTTTGAAATCCTCGTAGGCTGGGTTTTGTAAATTGTAACTCGTAAAGTGTAAATCCATGACACATTAGTGGGTCGGTAATCAAATTAAGTGGCTCATGAGCAGTATGTTTCATGAAAGAAGTATGTGTCTTGAAAGAAGTACAGCCATAATACTCCTTAGAAGTAATGTTGGCAAGACTTAATCTCACATACTTTGGACATGTTATCGAGAGGAAACAGACCCTGGAAAGGATATTGTATTTAGCTGAGGGTCAATGAAAAAGAGGAAAACTCTCAATGAGATACAATGACACAGTTGTTGTAACAATGGATTCAAAGGCACACTTATGGGGCTATTACAGGGTCAGTCAATGTATCATTCTACTGAACACAAGGCCACAATGAAGTAAAACTGACTTTATATCACTTAACAATAATAATAACACAAGATAGAACAGAAAAAAATGAGTATTACAAGGACTGAGAATAAATTATATTTAATAAAATTTCCCTATTTTTCATTATAAGTGATATTCAAAAATTTTAAAGGTAACACTGAGAACATCCCCTTCTGTTCCCACCCTATTTAGAACCATTAAAAAGATAAGGGGGGAAAAAAAGACAAGGAAAATTAGCACTACTAAAAATGATACTAAATCTATATAATTTTATAGATTCACATAAAAAAATGAGATGCTTACCTAGAACGTCCTCATAATCAATAAGATCAAACCAAATGACAGCTACTGATGTCCAGACTCCCAGTAAGGCAATGACAATAAACCACGTGAAAAATGAACTCCCAGAGGGCCCTCCTTTTCTCCCATTCTTGTGTCCGCCATGCTTTAGCTCTGATTAAAAACAAAATAAATGTCAATTTTCATTGCATAAGAAATCACTTATTTACTCCAACACCTTTTTCACGCTGAGTTATTTTCCTAGTAGTCGGTAGGACTGGTGGCAGAGTGAGCTACAAATTGGGTAACAGCAAGACCAACGATTCTAACTCACCAGCCACTCCAAGAGGGAGAGATGAAGCTTTCTGTTCACATAAAGATTTACAACTTCAAAAGTCCAAAAGGAGCAGGTCTATTCCGTTCCATACGGTCACTATGAGTCCAAATGGACTTTATGGCAGTGCGTTTGGTTAGTTTGGGTTATAAAATAGGCCTGATGGTACAATGATTGAGGACTCAGATGTTAACCAAAAGAGCGGCTGGTGGTTCCAACCCACTCAGCTGCAGCCTAGGAAACCCTATGAGGCCCTTCTACAGTTGCATGGCATCACGAGGAGTCCCTAACCAGTTTACTCAATGGATGCAAAATTCGTTTTCACTAAAATTCTCAAAATTTGTCACACAAAATAAAGGTTTTGAAAAGAGAAAATCTGCTTAAATTCAACGCCAAGTATGTAAAGCCCAAACCTGGAAGTAAAAAACCGATCGGCTAACTAGAGAAAAGCAAAACAAAAATAGGGTTGTTATATTAAGTATATTTCTAAGTTCTTTATTACCACTACTTGAAATAACTTTCAAAATACAGAAGTATATTAACAACTCGAGGAAGTCATACAAAAATAGTCAAAACACCTTATCTTCCCATGTAGGTCCCGAGAGTCTTAGAAACCACTCTATCACAGAAGAAAACATTCCTACCAAAAAGTCAATATTCTTGGCTAGAAAACGAAGAAGGCTTTAAAAATAGAGGTCAGACGAGATAGAAGAAGAAATAGCTCAGCAATTGTGTCCTACTTTAATTATTAAAACGATGCACTGGGCCTCAAGAAACTGGACAGTTGGTCTCAAATGCACGAAAAAGCTTCATAATCTACTGTCTACAAAAAGTGTCATTTTGCATAGATATTAGATATGCTTCATATTTCTTATAATCTTAGAATATGCTTTTCACAGAAATAAGCATAGACAACGAAAAGTCGGGTCGTATTAACAGAAAAGTTAACATGATCTTTAAAAGATAGTAAAAATCTAATTTATTTAAAGAGGAATATAAGTAGTTATATTCTCAAATGCCATTTAAGAAAAAAAAAAGCACTGACGTTAAATCAACTGATTCATGGTGACCCTAAAAGAAAGGGCAGAATCGCCCCTGGTGTTTCTGAGACTATAAGCAGGTAAGAAAATCTCTTTCTCCCCCAGGGCACCTGGTGGTTTCAAACTGAGGACCTTGTGGATCGTGGCCCAACAACGCTTAACCACTACAGTACACCACCAGTGCTCCTATTTACAAAAAAAGTAAAGTAACATTATCCAAGGTAATTAAGTAAAATCATCTAAGTTAATGATTTACAATACAAACAATCAGGAGAAATGTTTTATTGTTATTATATAAACACACACACACACACACACACACACCAAAGCAGAAAATATAACTGGAAGGGAGAACTGAAGCAGTCAAATACTAAAAGCCAACCAAAGCCATAAATTCCAGGAGCAAGTAGACACAGGAATTAGTAAAGGTTAGTGGTAAGCTAAACCCTCACAGTCCTTAAAATAACCTTGAGTGAAATAAGTGAAAGCCACATTGTTTTATTAAATAATATAAGAAATGTATATTGGATAGATTTTCACTCAAAACATTTTATTAAATCAATTTATCACTCTACCAGGTAAATTTACTTAACTAGAACATTCACTTATTAACAAAACTTTACCCATTCTTTATAATATAAAAAAAGGCCTTACTCTATTATTAACCTTATTACTATTAATATTTACTCATTTCATTTAAAATATCTCTTGGATTATACAAGGGACTCTTTCCTAAGACACCTTTCTTTGAAGAGAACTTTACTGTGGACAACAAATACCAGTCTCAATGTGTCACTTTGTAAACATGGTGTGCCTGCTCACAGTGGTTACACTAGGTTGCCGACTCTTAGTGGTTATGCATCAGCAGTTCAAAGTCACCAGCCTCTCTGTGAGAGAAAGGAGAGGCTTACTGTTTCTGTAAAGTTACAGTCTCAGTAGCCCCACAGGCCCATTCTACCCTATTAGTTGGAATCAACTTGATGGTACTGAATTTGGTTTTGTTTATTTTTCTACTCTGGTGGAGCCCTTGTGGCACAGTAGCTAAAACACTCTAATGCTAAAAGGTTAGAACCGACTGGCAGCACTGCAGACGAGTCGGCTTCCACGGAGATTCACAGCCTTGAAAACCGTATAGGGCAGTCCTAATGTCCTGTAGAGTCGATTTGAGTCGCAATCTACTCAACATAAGTGATTTTGGTTTTGGATTGGTTACTCCCACAGTATAGACAGATTTCTGTACAATTAAATAGAAGAAAAGATAATAAGGCAAATCCTTCAAGAGGGCTTTAAGCGTCCTAAGGCCAACTTGGAAGCAGTGGCTAGCCATATTGTCTATTAGCCAAGTAAATGAAGGAAGGTTCACTTCGTTTCATAGCTCCATTTTAGACCCAAAGTCCTAAGGATTGGTCTGAAAGATTCTTTTTGTTTTAAGTGAGGTTAAGAGTTATGTGATAACCATGTGATTCATTTTCTTACATGTTGTCCCATCAAATGTAGATGACTTAAAAAAAAAAAAAAAAAAAAACAGCACCTGCCCTGTAAATCAGAAAAGGCTGCTATGTGCTACCAAACTGAAAATTATCAGGCAAGCAATGGTCTATGCCTCTCTCCCAAAGGAAGACAAGATTACTAAGAGTAATTTTTTTTTAATATGGATGCTAAAGGGAACATAGAAGATCTACCTCAACACCTAAGTAACTAACTGAATTATGAATAAAGCATCTTACGTATTTATTAACTCTAAAGTTTTTTAAAACAAGTACAAAAACTGTCAAGTAATTGATTGAACTGTTTACATATTTAAAAATGTCACTCTCTAAGGGCGAATAACAATTAAAAATGAGTTGAAAAATATTTTATGTAAGAAATATAAATTGTGGAGCAAGAGACTCATATGGCTCACTTGTTGAAAACAGTAATCAAAAGTGGAGATGTTCATATTCTCTACATTAACAGTTTCAGTTGCTATTTATTTAGGAATTGGAGGGAGTCCTCATACAATTGTTGTTATTTTCTGCCATATATTTTTAACATAATGAGCAAATACAGCTTACTTACTATCAGACGGTCTTAACTTTAAAAGTAAATAAAACCAAAAAAACACATACCTCCCCCGACCCAAAAAAAGCTAGCTCATCATTAAGGGAATACTTAGAGTTTAATGATTTATATTATAAAACTCTAAAGTCTTTTCTTTGCATTTATTGTTTGCTTTACTAAAAGGCAATTTCCATATATAATAAGTCTTTGCTAGAGTCCCCTAATAAAAGTCTGCATTTACTTACTTAAGTTCCATATAATTTTATATAAAATATTAATATATAACTAATAACAAATTATAAAATATATATACTTTTTAACCTAAGGAAGTCTGCTTCTATATTTGTGAAATTAGTAAGAAACAGTCTCTAGAAGTTCAGTATACTAAAAAAATTACAATTTAAGATATTAAAACATACTCAAAGCAAAGTCAAATATATTATTGCATAAAAAATTCAACAACCGTGAAAAGTCATTATCGTCACCAGTTCAAAACATAAAGCAGAGAAGAGAGTCACAGCTCTTGCCAAAAAAATTTAACAGAACACAACTAAAAATAGAAATGAAAAGCTGTCAGCTAGATCAAAAACCACTTTTAGGCCAAACAACACAAATATACCTTTATCGTCAGCCATTTTGATTTCTTCAATCCATGAATATATATTGAAAAAATAAATTACAATATCCACGGCTACCAGTCGGCCTCAAGCATGCCCTTCCCTATTAGAGCTTCTGAGTGGCCTAACCCCAGGAATCCAGGCCTCTAGAACTGAAATTAGACCTAACTGCAAACTCACCTCACCAATTATTTTTAGAAGACTCTTCCTTGAGGTCAAGTGCTACTAATCACTCTGCTGAGATGCGCTCCTAACACTCAAACTGCCTTTCTCCCACTTAAGGAAATTCTGCCTTCCAGTAGGTTCGCTTACTCCAAAGCCAAAAATCAAGCTACCAAAAAAAAAAAGGAAGCAGACAAATTGTGTTGCCAGTTTTAGCTTCTTGGAATCTGGCCTTAATGGTTTTAGCCTGAGCACCAAGTTACTTCAAACTGAAGCAAAATGACAAAGAAAGCCATGCTATATGAACTGTGGCCCCAGTCTGCAAACAGTTTCATGTGGCCCATCAGAATCTAATTGACTACCTACATGAAAAAAACAAAACTTAGATCATTTTATTGAAACAGGTCATAAAAGAAATTAAATTAATGCTCTAGAACTCTAAATCACAAACAATACGACATCAGGAGTAAGACCTGCAATACTAGAAGTACAGCGACAACAACAAAAACATGTTTCACAGATAGGAGGTACTGAGGGATGAAGGGAAGGAGGGGCCAAGGAGAGAACTGAAGAAAAATTTGGAAGGAGAGGTATAGGAAGAAAATTTAGTAACATTAGAAAGAATTGAAGAAAAATTTAGGCATCAGGTTACAATACTGAAGGATACCATGAGCAAAATAGTAAATAAATAAAGCATCAAAATAAGATGAAAGGAATACAGAGTCATTAAACCAAAAACAATGATCCAAAATTCAACCATTTCAAGAGGTACCAAATGATCAAGAACCAATGACACTGAAGGGAGAAGTACAAGCTGCACAGAAGGTAGTAGCAAAGAATAAGGACCCGGAAATTGATGGAATACCAACTGGAATGTTTCAACAAACTGGTGAAGCACTGGAAACACTCATTTATGCCCCAAAAAATGTAGAACACATCTACCTGGTCAACTAACTGGAAGAGAACCTTTTTGTGCTCATT